AAGTCAATATGGTGCAGTGGTTTAAATGGTGGTTGAATGTGGTAGTGCTAGAGGTTGCTGGTTCAATCCTAGCTGGTGTCTTTTTTTTCCTTCGCATATCCGCTAATCATTGTATTGCTGTACATCACCATGCTAGAGACTAACTATGTCTGATATGATCCAACTAAAAACTGAGCTATAGTCTTTTATAGCATGAGCTTCTAGCATGTACTTGGCTCTGGTCTTGATTCTGGTCTTGGAATGGTCTTGGTGGTCTTGGTCAAGACCAATGGTCTTGGCCAAGACCACCCACCCGGCTTGGCCAAGACCAACGGTCTTGACCAAGTCCATTGGTCTTGATGTACTTGGAGTACTTGGTGGTCTTGGAGTACTTGGCCAAGTACCCCAAGACCACATTCAAGACCATGACATTTTGCTGATGTACTGATGCTCTAGTTTGCGGTCTATCAAACAGATCCTCTTGCTGGCACCGGCTTTGCTGTGAAGATCCTGGACCCCAACACTCAAGAAGCCGCAATCTGTGAGAGGCTACAGATGAATCTCGAGTCTCCAAATCATATGATACCCGCTGAGGTCATTCGGTCGCCGTCTCAGCCGCCACTCCTCTTGATGCCATGCCTGAGCCGAATAGATAGTGTACCTTTCCATAATGCATCATTAAGCTTTTTGCTGTCTTTCTTCCATCACATCGCTGAGGTGCGTGTTCCGTACTGTGATCATGACACCTAAACTGAGAGACACGTGTAGGGACTCGAATATCTTCATCGTCACCATATAGCACACTTGGTACGTCTACTAGAAGTCACAAACATCTCTAGTGCTCATCATAGGCATTCATAGGACATGTGCCCTGACAATCTTGTTCTGGCACATGATAGGCATACGGTGGCGGACAGACGAGTAGAGGGAAAGAAGGTCTACATTATCGACTTTCATACCTCCAGACAGCTCGAATCACCTCCTGGCACTCAACCTGCTATCGTCCTTCCATATACCCAGATCGATCCCCCATCTGGCATCAAGCATTTTGATCCTTACTCATGGGACGTGTACTGTCTTGGACACGTCTTTGAGAATAGACTTCAAGTGCGTCTTTTTAAGGCGGCAGCCGACCGCTTTGTCTGACTCTGCTATTGATGTGTATAGGTATTCTGTCACAGTCGCCCGGAGCCGCTGATCGTTCGCTGGCTCATCCGGTGGTTGATTGGCACCGAACGTGGATGCAGAGCTGCATGCCGTTGCCGTCCTACCGCATGGCGAGTCCGTCAGATGCTGACGTTCATGCGAGGGCTTGTCTACACGTTAGAGCTGCTCTCAAATCTTCCTGCTATCTTACGACGTTTGTTGCCCTGACTGAGCTTGCGCTCTTCTGTCTGCGTATCAATGCAATTTTGTAACTGATGGTGTTCCTTGTTAACACGGTATTCCACACCCCAAACTTGTTCCCTCTATGGATCCTGCGTCCTCCATGATGAGTCTCACGTACTACGGCAATCGCACGTGTCCGTTGTTCTCAGTGAACGATCGTTGAAGCAGCGCGACTTCATTGTAGTTGGTGCTCTCTTACGTATCACACTTCAACCACGCTACTGAGCCCAAGGTATATAACGGTAAACGGATACGACATTTACGTAGATAATGGGAATGTCGCCTAATGAACCGCTACTAACTAGAATCAGTAGAGACCCGGCTAAGTGAAGTATTAGACATACTTCCGTACGCAGAGAGACGTTGGATAGGTAATACTCACGATGGAACTGTCGTGCTGGAGTGGAGAACATCAAGTGGCTTTGGCGGTGTAGGTGACGGTGTTGGGCTTTTAGAAAATGATCGATGCAGCTCACAAAGGCTGTCTTGTTCACATCGAAGTCGCTGGAGGGATAGGAGACGAAAGGAAAGAACTCCGTGTCGATCCCTGAGCCCGGGAAGGTAATGCTGTACGATAAGTTAGGCAACGTGGGGGGTCGGCCTGGCTGAGCCGGCCCTGTGTAGCCAGTCTTGACCAAGCGGATGGTGAAGCCCTTGTCGTCAACGAGGGTCCATTCTCCTCGTCCCTTGGCGGCTTGAAAGAGATTGCTGTGGTATGAGTCATTGGAGACTGTGTCCTTCAGAAAGCGCAAGGCGTCGCGTAGAGAGAATTGTGCCGGAGCTGTCATCTACTACCGGTGTCTAGTTACAGGGGGAGACGAGGCCAGTGTGTCAGACTCGGGACTCGCTGTACCACAACGAATTTATTCTGTCAGCTCACCGATGTTTGGTAGAGGGTAAGACGCAGTGATATGGCTCGGGGGCGTAAGCCTTACTTGCGGAAGTTATGGTGTTGTTCTGACTTCACGAGCCCTTATATAGTTCGCACACGCCGTTGTCTTCCGCATATGGCATATCAAGACCTCCAGTGACATCGATGGGTGAGTGGTCATCTGTGGTCTACTTTAGACGAGCCCAATGCTTCAGCAAGGAATCTTGGCGAGAATGGCGTTCGAGAGCTCAGAATAGAATACCACACTCAACGAAGCTGATGTTCCTCGTGCTGAGTCGTGGACCGAGTCAGAAAGGACACGTTTGGCACACTTTCGATGGATCGTGTCATTTTTGGCTGAGAGACGAGACATAAAAGCATGGAGTCTATCACGCCATGTGTAACGCCGCAACTTCTAGCGTATTTGGGTTCCACGCGATTACAGGCGACTTATGGTGTGCTGTGCTATTACCCGAAAGGAAAGAAAACTGAGACCCTCTTTCTCCCGCGGATATTCATGATAGGCAGGTAGGCACTGGATCTGCGAACTCCCGCAATAATTGATATGTACCAGGGCTGTGTGTTTGAATGCCTCATAGGCTTGCGGTCTGGAGGCCTCCAAGTGCTCTTGTGATCCTGCACGCAAGTCTGACATGCACTGATAGCCACAGGTTAGCATCTAGAAACGTATGGAGCTTTTGCGTCCTTCCATCGGAGCAACGGATTCCTGAGATAGGCAACGATCGACCGGGCGCAAGCTGTGATCAAGGGAAGGATGACCTGCGCAGCCCGGATTGATTGGGACGCGTCACTGCCTCCACCATGTTCACTGACATGATCTTCCCATATGCGCCTGTTTGGTACAGAGAGTAGACAGTGGTCGGCCGTTAGGTCGCCTGCGCCAACTTTAACCTTTCGCCACATCTTCTTTCTGGTCATCGCCTATCTAGAACGTTCTGTCGCTCGCTGTGGGGTATTGATCGCCGGACTTGGCATGTTTCGCGTAACGAAGGGTCAGAAGAAACCGGTCCAAAGGCTTGCTTGCGACTTGACATGTACGTTTGGTCTAGCAGTCATGCCTGACACGGACTAAGCTCGGGCAGGGTGATGACTTATAGTATGGTTAATGTCATCGTAAGCAATACCTGTGAACGGTATGTAGAGTATCCTCACGCCATTCATGTGTCGAAGCGTCGAAATATCTGTTCCAGTCTAGAGATACAAGCTATTACTTCGGTCCACGTACCGGCACCCCTTCGCCAGTCTGGTACTCAAACGACTTTGATGTCTTCATCCACACCTTTCTTCTCGATATGGGACGACTGTTCGCTTTCCACAAGCTCGTCGGCGTCTTCACTCGTTATCGCTTCGGCCAGGAACGTGTCCTTTGCAGGGAATGCCAAGGATAAGACCGAGTAAACGGTCAATGCAACGGTGAACTACACGAGCAATCACGGCGGTATGAGCTGATGACGTTTTATATCATGAGGGGGAAGGCGACGTACGCCGAATATCCATGCGAAGTCGAAGATCTTCATGGCACCACCGACGGCGATCTTCGGATTTATTGAGGAAATGAGACCCGGCATATTGGGAGGCACAGAGAGCAGGATAGCGACCACGGCTCTCCAGTTCTACCACAAAGAGGGGCGTCAGGAGCGATGTTGACATGACCGCAAGGAGCGACTCACAAATCCATACGTGTACCTATAACGTCCATGGGGCCGGTACATCGAAGGCACGTCTACCTTGCCGTGGTGCACGATCCAGTACTGTACCTCGTTCAATCAGCGCTCCTTCGCAGGGAGCAGGGGGCATCTACTTACGTCCGCGACCATGATCCCGGCAAACGGACCCAAAAACACCGTATACCCATTCATAAAGCTCAGGAACCCCTGCGCGCTCGCGAGGATCTCCCACGGGCACAGCGCCCACCCGCCCAAAATCGCGCAAATCACCTGCCCGCGGCGGATGTTAATATACCGCGGAAAGAGCACCGTCATGTCATTTGCGGCCGACAGCGAGTTGGCGGAGATGTTCGTGCCCAGGGTGGCGAGTACGAAGGAAAAGGAGGCGAAGAACGCCGCGGCGCGGTTGTCCCAGTGGTCGATGAGCTTCAGCGGATCCCAGAGCACCGCGCCGCCGTAGAGGGACATGCCGGCTGAAGTCACGGCGATGCCGGTGAAACCGACGAGCGTGAAGGCGACAGGGATGATGACCAATTGGACGCGCTGCGCTTGCTCGTTCTTCGCGTAGCGCTGTGACAATGGAAGCGTCAGTCCGACGTTGGAGTCTGCGTCGGAAGGCACGAGGTACGCACGGTGAAGTCTGGGATGTTGACAGCGAGGGTGGAGTAGATGCCCAGCGCACTGTTCAGCGCACTAAGCCATGCGTATGACATCGCACTGCCCGATAGCGCACTATGCTGCTCGAAGAGGCCCTTGCTCGACGGGACCTTGACAAAGGACCATATGAGCATGGCCAGCCACGCGGGCGGAACGACGAACGCCTTGATCATGAACAGCCAGCGGATCTTCTGTGGAGAGACGAGCATTAACGGGAACTGGATCAGCCAGTACAGGAAGTAGCACATGATCCCTACAGCGCCCGAGTCAGCTCCGACTTGCATTCCGCAATGAAGAGACATGCGTACCAGCAGTCGTGATGTTCGCCCCAGGGGCCAACCCGTTATGCAGGTGCGCGAGGGACGGCCAGATGGCCTTGAGCATCTGATACACGCACTCGGACCCGGTATACGTCTGGATGCCGAACCAGAACATGGAGAGCACGACGCGGGAGACGACAGAGAAATAGCTGAACCAGAACCCAAACGAGGAGCGGTTCAGCACCGGGAAGCTGACGTGCAGCCGCGCGCCGACCGTCCCGTTGAGCACCATGACGATCGAGATGATGATGTGCCCGACTGCGATGGCGGGGAGAGCTTGGCGCCTAGATATATCGCGGACGTCAGTCGATGCTCGGGTCGTGGGCGCGTGCAAGAGGGTTTGGAGGTGCCCCGGTGTCCGAGATGGGGTTGGAATGCACTGCGCACCATGAAAGCCCAGTGGCGAGCATGCTCGACGCGAGCTCCCACACCGCGACATTGGTCGCGTCCGACACCCAGTACGCGATGTAGTTGAAAGTCGTCCATGTCCGCTGTCCATCGTGAACCATCAGCACCTCCTCATCTCGCCCAAGCTCAACAGCAGCACAAACGACACTTACGCCCTTGGGCGGGACGGGGTCCATGTCCTTGTTCGACCACCTGCTGTTCGGCGCGAACGTCGACGGCTCCGGCTCGAGCACCCACGCCTCGCGGCGCGTGTACGGAGCCACCTTCTCCAGCGCAGAGATCGCCATCCTTGAGAGATTTAGAACTTGAAAAACCAAGTCTCGCGGATCGGACGCGGGGCGAGCGTTGTCGGCTCGGGGTAGGTCAGAGAGCGGAGGACCTATGGAAACATCCTGTCATCGCGACGGCGTATATAACGGATTCTGTCGTGGCTCCAGAGTCCGGACATGGTCATGCACTGTTATCGCCGGGAAATTTGGCGGTGGGTGGGGACACTGCGTAGTTAGTGGGTGCGGAGACGGTCGGAGGCAGGGATCTTGGCGCGCGGGTGCGATAAGAGGCTCGGTTAATTAAATCCTGGCGAGATAGGCTGAAATGGAGATAAGTAAACCGCGGGAGATAAGCTGGAGGCCTCCTTCGGCGTGTAAACGGAACGCCGCGGTACCAGACCAAGACCAGCATGGCGGACTCCGACTCGAAGACAATGAAATGGCCAGCTATCAAACCAAGGGAACATATAAATCGTGCAAGTCTTTGAACGAAGCCTGATATCACCGATCCATTGATGTACAATAGTACAAGGCCTGGCGCATCTAATTGACAAGGTCCCTGGCAGCGTAATCCTCCACAAGCGATGCACAGATAGAGACGAAATGGAACGTAAGCGCAGGCACGTAGACCTCGCTCCTGCTCAGCCCAAGGGAGTCCGAAAGCTGTTTACCCGTAGACGTCGCGCCTCCTAACCCGAATTATAGCGAAGCGCCACCGCAAGTCTTGACGGTCTGGCCGGTGATGTACTCTCCCTCGTCCGATACGAGGAAGGAGACGAGCTTTGCGACGTCCTCCGGCTCCTGGATGCGCCCGAGCTTGATGTCGCGCTTGACGCGGACGGCCTTGGCCTCTCCGACGGTGATGCCCTCCTGTAGGAGCGGTCAACCAACTCGCCTCGTCTTGCAACTAGGAGACCACTTACGATCTTCGCGAGCTCGCGGTCGATGTGGTCCCACATTGGCGTGTCGACAATGCCCGGAGCGTACGCTGCACAGCACACCAGTCAGCATCCCACCCATGGCGCTAGGGCGCTAGGACCGGAAGTGATTCCAACACTCACCGTTCACGCGAATGTCGTACTGCGCCCACTCCTTGGCGCACGCCTCCGTGAAGCCGCGCACGGCGAACTTGGTGCCGCCGTACGGGCCGAGGTTCTCCGCAGTGCGGTAGGACGCGATGGAGCCTGCGCCGATGATGCGTCCGCCGAAGCCCTGCTTGACCATCTGCTTGGCGGCGAAGATGTGGGTGTTCATGAGGCCGAGGAGGTTGATGCGCACTTCGTTCTCGATGAACCTGTCGTGCGTGCGTCAGCATAGAATTGTCATAGAACATCAAGGTGAGCATACTCGGGCGTGCACTCGAGGAGAGGCCGTACTTGAGTAACGCCTGCGTTCGCGACGCTGACGAACAGCCTGGGGCCGAGCTGTTCGACCGTCTGCGCGATCGCGGACTCGATCTGCTTCGGTTCCCTGACGTCTAAGTGGGAGCGCACGAGGAGTCAACGAGGCGGCTCCAGAGACCGAGATGGGACGGTGCTCACCGACATGGACGCTGATGGCCTTGCGGCCGTAGGACTTGATCTCGTCGATGACGGTGTCGACCTTGGGCTGCGCCTGGGGGATGTCCGCAATGGAGATGTCGTAGCCGTCGCGCGCGAGGCGTGTCGCGATCGCACGGCCAATGCCCTGGCCTGCGCCGGTGATGAACGCGATGCGGTTCAAGGAAGCCTTGACGGGGGATGCGAGGGACATACTGGCAAGCTCACACATAGGACGGTGGTGGGCGGTGGGGAGTCGAGCAACGGGCGGAGCATGCTGCTGGGGTGCTTTTGAGCCTGGAGGCAGGCAGGTGAAGTCGGTAGGCTGCGCCGGACCGCCATCATGAGAAAAGGTGCGGGAAAAAGGGTTTGCGATGGTCATGAGATGGTTCTGGCCATGGGCGGTGGACGAGCGGATGAATCCCTCCATCGGCCCACGGCGCGCCCATCCGCTCTCCTCGTCACCCCCCGCCCGCAGTCACAGGCACGTGGCCAGACGCGTTAAGAGGAGACGCGATCAGGTCATGGGCAGTCACGCAGATTGGGCAGTCCTTCCATCCTGGTTTTTCTCCTGTCTCTGTCTCATCTTTTATAACTCGACCCTGCCACCGCCCGACTGCCTCGTCCGTAGCCTTGTCACCACCACCATGACGAGTAAAAGGAGAAGCGGGCGTAGCTTCCACCCAGGCAGCCCCATGGACACCTTCCTGGCTTCCAGCGAGGCTGGCTTTGAGAGCATAGAGGTCCGAATCAACCAGGGCAAGGAGGAGGAACGCAGGCGACAAGCAAAATGCACCTACTGCCAGAATGAAAGCGGCGACGCCCTCAAGAATTGCTCACGCTGCAAGTACGTGATTATGCCCTGTATATTTTGCTTCGACGCTCACAGAGAAGTTCTCATCAGGGCGGCGCGGTACTGCGACGAGGCATGCCAGCTCGCCGATTTCAAAGCGCGGCACAAGCGCGAGTGCGCGAACTTTGTCAATCCCCCGACTACCAGCTCATTCCTCACCACGCCCGTGGCAGGAGCGCGCTACCCCCAGCACCCGGTCTTCGCACAGGGGCACGAAGACGGCGTCGGATGCTGGGTTAGCGTCGCAGGACGCATCGACTGCGAGTAAGTTGTCAGCTCCCATATATGCGGGGCTCAATAAACGCATCTCTTCCACCACAGCCTCGGGGCGCTGAGCGAGCCGGTAGACCCCGCTGCAGACATCGAAAAGCGACAGATCCAGATGGCCACCAGCAGCCCCAACAACGGCATAGATGTCATCCGCGACTACAAAGCCGCCCCTCACAGCCTCCTCAACCTCTCCGTGCTCGTCCAGAACCGGCGCAAGGAGAAGGGCGCGGTCTTGGTGTTCGGTTCGCGCGCGCAGGCCGTCAGCTACGGCTCGACCGCAGACGTTGTCCTGCGCGGGACGGCCAAGGGAGATAACATCGCAAAGTTCACCCGTGATCGGTGCGTCAAGCGTCCACCCTGTAATGCAACTTTGACCACTGAAGCGCAGCGCCTCCGCGGTCACAGCGTGAGGTACGTTGCGGCGGGAGTGGCTATTGATCCATGGGACAAGGTCCCCCGGCTCCAGATTACCCATATCAACGGACAAGAGGTCAGCACGCGTCGCCCTCCTCCTATATGCCGTGTTCACCATCAATATTGATTTGCTGTTCGACAGGTCAGTGCAAAGAAGTCGCCCCCGCCACCCGCCATCAAAGACGCCAAGGAAGGCACCATCGCGCTCGACCCAGGCGAACACGCCATCCTCCACCTCCAGTTCCGCGTCGGGGACGGTCACCGCATTGCCAAAGACTGGGAAGCGATGACCTGCATCGAGTCCCTGCGCCTTCCCTACGCCCTTTGGGACGGCGCCTCCCCGCCCAGCTCCCTCGTCCCCTCCCTCCCGCTCGCACAAGCCCCCATCCCCGCCCTCGCCGAAGGCCAGCAACGAGGGAGGGCGATCACGGCGCCGCTCGATCAGCGCGCGGTGAGGGCGCACTACGCGGACTTCATCGAGCACGGCGAGGAGGCGTACCTGCGCTCTCACTTCGGGGACGCGCGCGCGGACATGGCCCGCACCATGGAGGGCATGATGACGATGATGGGCGAGCTGTTCTTGGGGCAGGTCGCAGAGGCTGGTGGGACGGACGTGCTCGTGCAGCGGCTGCGCGAGATGGGCATGGGCGAGATGGCGGACAAGATCGGGGCGAGGGGTCGGTGAGTTCCTGGGCGCGTGTGAGAGTCGAGGTGAGTCAGTGAGTGCACATGGGGCAGATTGAGGAGGGGTACGATAGGTGATGAGGTACGCTTGGTGTCCTGGCGGAATTACGTTCCAATCAACTTTCTGCCGACCGTTTCTGGTGGAAGTTGTCGGGCATGTACCGTATGGATCCTACCAGAGTTCTGTGGGTATGCAAATCCGTCGAACTTCCGCTGTCCTGTCAGAAAATCACCACCACGTGTGTAGTGAGTTTTCTGCCGTTCTCATGTCCCAGACGACTCTGGACAGGAAGGCTCCATGGAGCCCCGCCCATTGCAGGACGGTTGATTCCGACGACTGCGGTACGTGTCGCGCATCAGAAAAGCAATGGCAGGTGGCTGTGTATTTGCGCGTAGTGCATACCCGCGAGTCTCGAGTCAAGGGACATATCGGGCTCCTACACGGAAGGTGGACGTTTTTCGAGTAGATGAAAGTCGACGGAAAGGGGAGATGCAAGGTCAACTTTTGGTGAAAATGCGGGCTTCTGAACAGAAGTCATTCCTGAAATTGCGGGTGGTTGCCTCTTGGAGCCTCTGTCTATGTCAACCTCTACTGAGATCAGATACCTCGAAACAGTTCGCACTTGCGATAAATTCAGACAATCAGTGTCAGGGACGATGGTTTTACAGACGCTGAAAAACAATCATGCCCCAGGATGGCATGAATCGAGACTTCAAATTCGCCGCTGATTTCCTAGATATGGCTGTTCCTTTGTTCGCGTCACTCGCACCGAGGCCCTCACACAAAGCAATTCGCAATCAGTGGCAAAGCTCCTATCAGAGAATACAATGGATGACAAGGTCCTTATTCTCCTCGACAATAGTCTCGCTAGTACAAGTCTCATGGTTCGACCGCCGTATACGTAAACAGAGTGAACGTTAAACATGTGCTCCGGCAGCATCTAGACCCTGAGATGATACCATCGCTGTGAGAAAGTCTCAATATCGATATATGAGGGTATCTCATTTATTTACAAGCGGTGAGGGCTGCTAATGCCTGTATTTGCATGAACATCAACATAACCACTATCGGGCTGAGTGACTTTGCTAGCTCAGGACCCGACCCGGAACCCCTCGTATCTTTCATCCTAACACCGCCTCCTTTGCTTCTTTACAGGGTTAGATATACCGCTCCGTCTTCGCCAAATCCTGTTTCCGTGATATCCCTTTGTTCTTCTACTGCTCATTTGCAAATATGAATTTGTCCTGGGTGAGGTTCCCATGCGATCTGCAAGGGTCCGTGTGGTCCGTGCGCTGTTTTGGTGGAGCTCCGCTTCCGAGGGAAGATCGAGCAGTGCTGATAGCAGTAGATTTGTGCCAGCGATGTTGTACAGCATTGTTCTATATTTGAGAGCAACAAAAGCCTTTGAATCATGGGAAGTTTGTGGAGCGAGGAGTGTCGCAGCCTTATAATCTCTGGATGCTCAGAGCGTTAGAATCATAACAACCCCCAGGCCCTCCTCCCCTGCCGTCTTTGCGCTCTCGGCACACCGCATTCCTGCTGGTAAGCACGGCTTTCAAATATCTATACCTATACTATGCTGATACTGGAACAGCATCATGGCTTATAATTACGACCAGAACGACGACGACATGCCTACAGCGTACTCGGGCGTCAAGTTCCTGAGAGAGGAACTTGAGAAGTCGACCGACATGGCAGTTTTCTCGGCTTCCAACTCTGAGGATCAGCTTTCCGTGCTCTTCAAGGACAAGTACGAGATAATCCTCGAGAGGACTGGCTATACTGCCTACGAGCCTGTCCCAACTATCCAGTGGACCGTCACTCTCGAGAGTATCGCTACCACAGTCTGGCGAGCTTTCATCGAGAAGCCTTCGACCTCCGACCCGGCGGTCAACAAGTCCGCGGTCTTGGCTTGCCTTGACTACTTGCTGGCGCATCCCTTTGAGAGCCGGACGACGAAGGCGGCTCAAGCTTGAGACCTCACTCGGTTCGGGGAATAGGTTGGTGAGCACAGCTCATCTTTCCATTTGATTAATGGGTGCTAAGCCTTACACTCCCGCATAGCTTCGAGCGTTCTAATACCGATGTGTAGGGCACCGCCTGAATGTTTTCCTATCTCTGTCTCGCCCAAGTGTGGGCCGTTGTAATGTATTGCTTGGCCTACTGTTGTACCTGGTCAGGAAGTTGTTCCTAGTCATCTGAGTACTGAGTACCCTTCGTTTCGTGAGTAACGCATGCCTCAACCCAAATCTGCGGTACGGACCTAGAACACAAAAACAGGTATTTCGTGTAAGCAGCAGACACCTATGATGCAGTCGGTGAAGGAGTGCATGACGGTGTATAAACGGCTATAGACGATCGAGAACGCGTAGAAGAGTAAAAGCGCAACGCCGAAGTATCTCCTCTCGAAAATCTGGCCCTGAACAAGGTCACCGATTTCTGCAGAGATCGCCCTGAAGTCACATAATGTTACTCACATATTCAAGGCTAGTGAGAGTAGCGTACGTGGAATGTGTCTCATTCGCACTGATGCATAACTAGTCACATCCCTCTCAAATACACATCCCCATGGAAATGATATGGAATGTAATAAGACAACAATAAATTACAGAGCGCTAAAGTCGTCTATTGTCCATGATTCGTGAATAGAGCCTTGGAAGCAATGTGATCGCTTGTCTAGTCATATACTGACGATCCGTGGCGCGTGCAAGGTTTTGCGAAGTGTGACGATCTTCCCAAGGACATCGCACACATGCACTGCCCATCGGATGACGGTCAATACCTGGTGTGCTCGCAGGGCCGTTGGACGGCAATGGCAGGCAACAGTACAGCCACGTTCGGTACCAATAAGCCAGTCGATATACCGACAGGCGATCCATGGCCACTTCGGTTTACTCAGGCAATGGAACTGCATGGGTGGAGAAATTCGGTAGCTGCCCAAAGGATAGTGGTTATGACATACACACCTTGAGCCTATTCCGAAGCAGGTATCCTAGACAATACACATCCCAGGAATATGGATCGAATTGTTTGATGTTGGGCGGTGGCCTTACTTGGCTCTGTGGTAGCGTTATGGCGGGCTGAATACCTGGCGGCAGCTGCAACTGTTGCGACGTCTGAAAGTCGATGAAGTAGATCTTTCCTAGTTCGACCCGTCTGTCCAGAGTCATAGAGTTGTTCACTGCGACAACCAAGTTGTTGACGCATACATCCTCAAGTAACATAGTGTCAGCGTAACAGCTATCCCACAATTTCGTGCACGTACTAGATGTACAATTTGCTGAAGATGAAGATGTTGAAGTCCCTGAACAACGGGGGATCAACTTCAGATTACTCGTCATAGCGCGGCCTTCGATTCACCTCGACGATCTGGGAAAAGAAATACAATACAAAACTCAGGGGTTTGGTTCGCAAACCAACGCAGTTGAGAGGCGACAAGCAAGGCATCAAGAGCAACGGTGGCTCAGACGGAATAACCTCGCTAGGTATGGCATGATTCGGAGAGCGGAGATCAGCCTGGAGCCTCTCAGAGATATCTGCCTCTTGGCTCTCAGGACTAAGAATCTTGACCACAATGTGCGGAGCATTGCGCCAAGAGGTTTCATAGACAACAAACTATGAGACGGTTGTGAGCGACGCACTCTAGCTACTTCAACGGAAGATTTATTCACTGGTTTGATAGGTCCCTCCAACGTGATTCCCCGACGCGTGAGTTCTGCATGATTTTGTAAAAATTGCGGAACCTTGAGGATGGAGTTTTCCGCATTATTCATGTATGCAAAGAGTGGTAAGGGTGTGGCGTAGAACGATATTGTGGCGGTAGGGACGAGAGTTAGGACAACAAACGCCTAGCAGCTACTAGCGCCTTTAAGGCCCCATCACGATATCACCCACCCTCAGAACCAAACATGATCAAGCAGGAGCCCCTATGCTGAGGAGATTGGCCCATATCAGAATGTAAAGTCTCGGTGGCCACCACTGATTGAAACGGCTCAAGTTGTCCGAGCCGTTACTCAAGTCTGCATGTCCTTCGTCTCACTGCTGTTCACGGAGCGCCTGTTCCGAGTTACTACAACTCACAAGTACGCCATTCCACTAAGATGTAGCGCAATCATAATCGGATATCTGTGAGTGCAGCAGTGCCCAGGCCAGTGACGGAGAGACGGCTTCGGCTTCGGACTCTAGCAGCGTCGGGCAGGGGACTTTGAATGGCTCGGACCGTAGTCAACTTATAATCAGTTGGCATGTAGCAAGATGTTCAAAGTGGCATCTCATAGTACTGTAATCCTACTCCCGAATACAAGATATTTGTTGTTCCCCGAGCTTCAGATCCTGCCGAAGCAGAAATGAACATGCACGGGCCAGAAACTCACTGAGAGTAACCCCTACGTCGGACTCACATATCCAACGACACCTTCGTTGGTGTAGCCTAACACGTTCACGAATTCGTCCACCTCCGCCTATTCGGTCGTATAGAAGTCGAAGTTGGCCTCGTCCATGTCCTTGTAAAACCAATATAACGGCACCGTGCCGCACTCCTGGTCCGCATACACGTACCCCACCACGCCCTGGCTGACATAGTTCCCGCGTCCCAACACGACATCGCGTTGCGTTGTGTTCGCCGTATAGAGATAGTCTGTTGACTTGGCTCCGTACAAACGAAAGAGCGGGATGGCCGTGGAGCCTGGGTGTCGGACGGGAGGATCTGCGCGGCGACGCCCTCGGAGATGTAGTGTTCGGCGCCATTGATGAAGGCGTTCATTTCGGTGGCGTTCGTGGTGTAGAAGTGGGCGGTCTTCGAGTTGAAATACGCACGTAGGAGCGGAACGGTAGGGTACCCGCAGTCTGGTATTGTTGCAAGCTATAACAGAGCGGCGCGTCAGTAGGAGTCGCCGATGCAGACATGACGTTGTGCTTACCTCTAGGGCGGCACGAATTGCGGGCGAGGCGGAGACCATCGCGCAGAGTGTGGAGAGAACTATAGTAGCGGCAGAGAACTTCATTGTAGCTCTTCTGTGACACAAGAGTGCTGCATAAAACGTCGTGGGCTGTAGAGGATCTTATACCGTCCCCATGGCCGAGTAAAACAGATGTTTGGCTAGCACTCAGGACAGGAGGAATGTCAACAACACTGAGACGAGGCCGGTTGCAAACTTACCAGTCAGGTGCAATGGACGTCTTGCCGTAATACGCCCTCTCTATATGGTCTTTGCATGGTATGTAAACTTCTCATCAGAAGAGTTGGCTATGGCAGCACCATTGATGTTCGCGGAGGCCGCGGTCTTGGAGCTGGAATCTGTGCATGACTGGCGACTCGCTCGCTGATAGGCTGTTGACAATCTGACAATCATAGGTTCCTCGAAAGCAGTCACATATTTTGATGGGACTCTGCAACAAGCTGAGATTGAAGTTGATAGCACGAACAACACGGACCTCCGGGGCATAAAGTATGAGCGTCCGAGTAGTCTTCTTACCGACAGAGACGTCCGAGATTTCCGACGTTGCGCTTTCCTTGCCGTTTTCCACTCCTCGGATGATTCGGGCCTCTGTGCTCGCGAGACGGGCCTCGTCCGAAGCCATCAAGAGGATTGCCTTGCAGTGGAAAACTGCGCCCTGATCTGCCCCTGCTCGTCATGCGTCATAGCGGTGTTCTGGCAACAGACGTGGCCGCCGTCGGTCTAAAAGTGAAGTCAAAAGGGAGACAGAGGCATTGGCAGCAAGGACAACAGGATGGAAGCAGTTTGAACTTCGAACTCGCTGTGCCTCGTAGCGTAGCCGACGCGTTTTTAGCGCGTTAGGCCGAGGAGGGATCACAGTCACAGTCTCTGCTCGCAATCTCGTACTCGTTCGCAATCAATTTTCGAGTCCTTTCCTGGGCGGGGTCAACATGGGACGTGAAACAGGAGACCATGACAGGCGAAGAGAGGAGAGGCAAGACAAGACTCTGACCACATCTCGTCGCAGCAGAACAAGGAGCGCTAGTCATCTTACCCTAACCCTCACCCTCACCATGTCCTTCTACACCCTCGTCCCTCGCGTCCGTGTTGTCCCGTCTTCCTTCTTGCTCTCTCTCTCTCTCTCGGAAGCGAACTTCGTTGGCTTTTTGCTGTCCTAATGCTCTCCGGCGCATACCAGCCGTCTGCTCTATATAATAGCGAACCTTGGGCTCTGCGGCGGCGCTAACTTCCCAGTGTGCGGGTTTACGGAGGCGTATGCGAGGGAGTGAGCGCAGTGTGACATCCGCGCCGGCAGTGAGTGTATCAAGACTTGTGGTGGTGCTTCTGTTTGAATTCGGTGAGGAAGGTCGTTTCCTGAAGCATTGTTAGGCTACAGTGGACTAGGTAGGAGTGGGGTCTGCGTGTCCGCGTTCGGGTCGTCGTTCCTCTCCCTTCGCGCTCGAGATGTGCCAGGCTCTGTATGATGGTACGTCAAAGCATTACTCTCATTCTTACCTCGCGAGCCCCTCGCTGTGAGATAATTCTCACTGCTTCCTGATGTAGGAGGGGTTTCACAGAGCACTGATCTTTTCGCATGCACAATATACCATTCGTGAGGTCTCCTGCTAAACGCTTCAAATGGCAGCCTCTTCTGCTCAAGGTCCATCGGAGTTACGCGTACACGCCAGAAATACTCCGTCGTGGTGATTGGATGCTTCTTATCTAGGTTCTCGTGCTCTAAGCTGCCCAGTCTACATCCATCGTCCTTCTCCTAGTTGCACTATTGTCTAGGCTGGCGTCGGGGTCGCATTACTTGGGTTCAAAGTTCTGAAAGTCTTGACTCTGGTGTCTGGGATGGAGAAGATACTCGCGTATACGCGCCGCGAGGCGTGGGTGCTCGAGCCGGAGCCATCGACGTTCGCGCCGAATAGTAGGTGGTCGAACAAGGACATGGACCCCGTCCCGCCCAACTGGGTGAGTACTGTTCATCTTCCAACACTGAAGTACAGGCTGCGAAGAGTGCTGATGTAACGCGCGTTGACACTGCTAGAGGACATGGACGACGTTCGACTACATTGCGTATTGGGTGTCGGATGCGGCGAACGTCGCAGTGTGGGAGCTTGCGTCAAGCATGCTCGCTATTGGGGCTTTCGTGGTGCGCAGTAGATGTTCAATCGTGTCTCTATGCCATCCTCCTCTTCCATGCTTACACCTCCGAACCCTCTCGATTGAGTGCGCACGAGCCGAGCATCGACTGACGTCCGGTATACCTCTAGGCGCCAAGCTTTTCCTGCCATCGCCGTAGGGCACATCATCACTTCGATCGTCATGGTGCTGAATGGAATGGCCGGGGCGCGGCTGCACGTCGGCTTCCCGGTGCTGAACCGCTCCTCGTTCGGGTTCTGGTTCAGCTATTTCTCTGTCATCTCCCGCGTCGTACTCTCCATGTTCTGGTTCGGAGCCCAGACGTATACTGGGTCCGAGTGCGTGTATCAGATGCTCAAGGCCATCTGGCCCTCCCTCGCGCATCTGGATAATGCTTTGGCGCCTGGGGCGAATATCACGACTGCTGGTCAGTCGGGTCTTTCTAGCATGTGGAGAAGGACATGCGAGAGCTGACGGAGAATGCAGGGATCATGTGCTATTCCTTGTACTGGCTCATCCAGTTCCCATTGATGTTCGTGTCACCGCAGAAGATCCGCTGGCTGTTCATGGTCAAGGCGTCCATCGTCCCACCCGCTTGGCTTGCCATGCTCGTTTGGTCGTTCGTCAGGGTGCCATCGAATAAGGGGTTGTTCGAGCAGCCTAGCGCGCTCTCAGGTAGCGCAATAACGTACGTGTGGCTTAGTGCGCTAAATAGTGCGCTGAGCATCAACACGACCATTGCCGTCAACATCTCAGATTTCACCGTACGTACCTGTTGCATTCCAAGACTGCCCAGAACCTAGCTAACGCTACGAATTTCCCAGCGCTACGGCAAAAACGCGCAAGCGCAGCGTGTGCAGCTGTTCATCATCCCCACCGCGTTCACTCTTGTCTCGTTCATCGGCCTCGCCGTCACTTCCGCCGGCGTGACACTCTACGGCGGCGCGGTGCTCTGGGACCCGCTGCAGCTCATCGACCACTGGGACAACCGCGCCGCGGCGTTCTTCGCCTCCTTCTCCTTCGTGATTGCCACCCTCGGCACGAACATCTATGCGAATTCGCTGTCGGCCGCAAACGACATGACAGTGCTCTTTCCGCGGTATATCAACATCCGCCGTGGGCAGGTGATATGCGCGATCCTGGGCGGGTGGGCGTTGTGCCCGTGGGAGATCCTTGCGAGCGCGCAGGGGTTCTTGAGCTTTATGAATGGCTATGCAGTGTTCTTGAGCCCAATTGCAGGGATTATGATTGCGGACGTGGGTGTATGCGCTCTCTTATATTGCACTCTGGGTCGCTGATGCGACGTGCAGTACTGGATTGTGCACCGAGGCAAGGTTGACGTGCCGTCGATGTACCGACCCCGTGGGCTGTACAGGTATACGTATGGCATTGTGAGTCATTTTGAGGAGCGATCGCGAGTTGTCCTCAAGTCCGTCTTTACCTCAGAACTGGAGAGCCGTGGTTGCTATCATGTTCTCAGTGCCTCCGAACATGCCTGGCCTGATTTCGTCAATCAACCCGAAGATCGCCGTCGGGAGTGCGTTGAAAATTTACGACTTCGCATGTATATTTGGGGTACGTTGCCATCCGTTGACGACGAGAAGTTGCTGCAGTAGCTGACCAGCTGACAATCCTTGTACAGTTTGCAGTCGCCCTAACAGTGTTCTCGGTCTTATCCTTTGCCTTTCCGGCGACCAAGACCTTCTTACGCGAAGCAGTCACGAGCGAAGATTTGAGAGAGTATTCAGAAAGCGAAAGGTCATCGCACATCGAGAAGGGCGTGGATTCAGGTATCTTAGTTGTCTGATTGATTTGACCAACGCAAAGTAAGAGTTGTTAGGTGTTTGATACATTCACGATAGGTTTCTGGATTCATGTTTGCGTGTTGTCTAGAGGACGAGAGCGTGTCTGTGAGGTCGTTCCATTCCCCCACCAACTCAAAGATCACTTCTACCCTAATGTTCCATCCGTCCACAAGCGCGAACTCCGAACCTGGTCCGCGGATACACCCTTTCGTGACGTTGGTACCGATTGGGGGGACAAAATCAGACGCCAACAGTAAGACGACTGCCTTGCTCAACTTCGAGACCGGGAATATGCCACTTCCAGAGGCCAGCACGGCACTCCGCAAGCGCACATCACGAACTGGGACAGCACCGTGACGTGGGCGAACGCTACACGACCCGTTCAGTAGGCACGAGCAGGGAAAGGTCTCAGAGGGTACTCGCAAGGCTGTATTGAAAGACCAAGAGGAAGGTG